ACACAGATGTTACGCACCACTATTGGTGGCTAGGGATGTCAATCACCAGGTCCCGGGTCAGAGATTCCCGGATGGCACCCAGACAGCGCAGAGTAACACTGACAGTAAACAATACAGGTCTCTCTCCTGCCAGCAAGGACATGCTGCTTTGTATCTCTCTGCACAGCAGCATGTCTCCCTAGTAAAACACACAGCACACAGTTAACCCTTTGATTGCCCCAGATGTTAACCCCTTCCTGCCCAGTGCCATTAGTACAGTGTCGGTGCTTTTTATTAGCGCTGATCACTGTATTGGTGTCACTGGGGATGTCAGTGACACCAAGTCAGTTCCCCTCAGTGTCAGAATGCCCGCTGTAAGTCGCTGATTGCCGCCATTACTAGTTTAAAAAAAAAAAATCCCAGTATCTATACCGCCATTTGTAGACGCTATAATTTTCACGTAAACCAATTCAATTTTTTTTTTTTAGCGAAGACGTCGCAGAATACATTTTGACCTAAATTTATGAAGAACTTTGATCTTTTACATTTTTTTACTGGATATGTTTTATAGCAAAAAGTAAAAAATATTTTATCAAAATTGTTGTTTTTTTTTGTTTATAGCGCAAAAAAATAAAAACCGCACAGGTGATCAAATACCACCGAGAGAAAGCTCTGTTTGTGGGAAAAAAGGGCGTAAATCTCATTTGGGTGCAGCGTTGCACGACCCGCGCAATTGTCCGTTAAAGTGACGCAGTGCTGTATTGCAAAAAATGGCCCGGTCAGGAAGGGGGGGGGAATCCTCTGGAGAGCGAGGGGTTAAACCTGGAACGAAAAATGACCAAAGCATATCCTTCTATAGTGTGTACTTGCCGCAATCTATAGCACCTAGTGTGATTTCTGTCTGCCCTCTCATTCCTCAGTCATCTGCAACTGTCACTTCGGTCAGTTTATGCCCCCACCAGGCAATCCCAGGAGATAGTCCCACCCACCTCCAGCACACAGCAGGTGATTGACAGCCTCAGCTGTGCGTGTGTATGAGACTGTGTAGAAGGGGGTGTGGTTCTCCTTCCATCTGCCCCGCCTTTCTTCTGGATTCATGAGCTGGGGCTGATCAGGATTATTTGGAGTACTTGCAGCATTATTGGGAGGTACACGGCGGGGTCATCCTTGGGGGGGGCGGGGTCATCTTCGGGGGGGCAGGGCACATGTAGTTCCTGCATTTTAAAAGATAAGTTCACAGTCCGTTTTGGCAATACATCATTTTTTTTCCCCCCTTAATACCTTATTTTTAGAATTTCTGTCTCCACTTCCGATCCCAGCCGCCTAGGCGATTTTGTCATTAGGCGTTCCCTGGGGCTTCTGGGATATCGGCGTCATCGGAGTTGGAGGGAATGCCTAATAGCGAAATCTCACGTTATTACGCGATTGCGGGGATTTTAGCGCCATTCTAGAACAGCTCTCTGCTGTGTAGTTTGTGACATCAGATCTCCACCCCCTGCCTTCTGGAGCTGAGAACTTCTGTGTAAATTCTGGACTTTGAAGAGATCGCTGCAGATAAACGGGTACAACTTATGTAGGAGGATTTGTTTCATCTCTGTGTATCACCTGAGGACAATCACAACACTGGGTATATATAAGGGTTTACAACCACTTTGGTTGTAAATGTTGACATATACCCAGTGAAGTGACTGTCCTTGGGTGATACCCGGAGATAAAATAAATCACCCGACATGAGTTGTATCTGTTTATCTGCAGCTGTATGCTCCCTAAATTCATGGAAAAAGAAGAATTTACAAGGGATCTCCAAGCTCTGAAAAGCAGAGGGGAAGCTGAACTTAGGCCGGCCATACATTATACAATTTTCTTGAGAATTTTGGTTTAGATTTACCATATAATAGGAGGTCAAACCTAGCAACACTTTCAATTGCATCCAATCAGGCCGGCTCTTGCACTACATAGTTAAAGGTAAATCTAAAGGAAATTGGGCAGAAATTGGAAAATTGTATAGTGTCTGGCCAGCCTTACACAATGTGAGGATAGCTCTGAGAGCTGATTGGAGGGAAGGGACACACCCTTCTTCACACAACTGAGGCTGTCAATCACAGGCTGTGTGCTGGAGCTCCCTTCCTTGTTACCTTTTTCTCTTGATGTCAGGAAAACTCCTCAGAAGGGAAGGAAGGAGGCGGCAGACGGAAAAGACAAACGCATTAGTGCTCTGGATTAGGACAAGTACGCACTACAGAGGGATCTGCTTTGTTCATATTTCATGTCTGAGGTTTACAACCACTTTACAGGAAGCTGTCATCGGGCAGAGTGTGATGCCCAGAGTGCGAATGCGGCTTCACTAACCGGCTTGTGCAGCTGCCAGCCACAGGGGAAGGTGCTGAGAGGTGGCTGGGGCTCAGTCCCTGTTGCTGAAGGAGTGTCAAGGTACCATGACTTGGAAAAGAAATTAACCATGTATGGTGGTGGAGGGCCAACCATGGACCTTTTGGGTTTGAAGGAGTCCAAACATTTTTTTTTTGGACCAAATTATAACTGCTATAGAGAACTCGACAGAATCCTTTGACAGGCATACTGGTGAGTAAAGGAGAACCTACCTTCCTATGGTATACAAATGCAAAACCCATAGGACACGAAGCAAAGCCCATTGATGCCAGCATACTGGCGGGTAAACCCATAGGACACGAAGCAAAGCCCATTGATGCCAGCATACTGGCGGGTGAACCCATAGGACACGAAGCAAAGCCAATTGATGCCAGCATACTGGCGGGTGAACCCATAGGACTCAAAGCAAAGCCCATTGATGCCAGCATACTGGCGGGTGAACCCATAGGACACGAAGCAAAGCCCATTGATGCCAGCATACTGGCGGGTGAACCCATAGGACTCAAAGCAAAGCCCATTGATGCCAGCATACTGGCGGGTGAACCCATAGGACACGAAGCAAAGCCCATTGATGCCAGCATACTGGCGGGTAAACCCATAGGACTCAAAGCAAAGCCCATTGATGCCAGCATACTGGCGGGTAAACCCATAGGACGCAAAGCCCATTGACACCGGCATACTGGCGGGTAAACCCATAGGACTCAAAGCAAAGCCCATTGATGCCAGCATACTGGCGGTTGAACCCATAGGACGCAAAGCCCATTGACGTAGGCATACTGGCGGGTAAACCCATAGGACTCAAAGCAAAGCCCATTGATGCCAGCATACTGGCGGGTGAACCCATAGGACGCAAAGCCCATTGACGTAGGCATACTGGCGGGTAAACCCATAGGACTCAAAGCAAAGCCCATTGATGCCAGCATACTGGCGGTTGAACCCATAGGACGCAAAGCCCATTGACGTAGGCATACTGGCGAGTAAACCCATAGGACCCAAAGCAAAGCCCATTGATGCCAGCATACTGGCGGGTAAACCCATAGGACGCAAAGCCCATTGACACCGGCATACTGGCGGGTAAACCCATAGGACTCAAAGCAAAGCCCATTGATGCCAGCATACTGGCGGTTGAACCCATAGGACGCAAAGCCCATTGACGTAGGCATACTGGCGAGTAAACCCATAGGACCCAAAGCCCATTGATGCCAGCATACTGGCGGGTAAACCAATAGGACGCAAAGCCCATTGATACCAGCATACTGGCGGGTAAACCCATAGGACACAAAGCAAAGCCCATTGACACCGGCCCATTGGAGCCATCAGAAGCAACTGAGCCAATTACTCCGGGCAGAGCTGAAATCATTTGGCAGCTCTCTAAACTGATCACAGAATAGGACTCCGATTTGCCATTTTTTTCAATTCGATCGGCTTATTTGCATCGAGTGACTGATTGAATGATCACATCAACATACATGGCCATCATCATCATCATCATCATCATCATCCATACATGGCCATCATCTTCGACATGCATGGCTATCATCATCATCATCGAAATGCATGGCCATGGCTATCATCGACATGCATGGCCATCATCATTGAGATACATGGCCATCATCATCATCATGGGCATACATGGCCATCACCATCATCATGGACATGCATGGCCATCACCATCATCATGGACATGCATGGCCATCATCATCATCATGGACATGCATGGCCATCATCATCATCATGGACATGCATGGCCATCATCATCATCATGGACATGCATGGCCATCATCATCATCATGGACATGCATGGCCATCATCATGGACATGCATGGCCATCATCATGGACATGCATGGCCATCATCATCATCATGGACATGCATGGCCATCATCATGGACATGCATGGCCATCATCATGGACATGCATGGCCATCATCATCATCATGGACATGCATGGCCATCATCATCATCATGGACATGCATGGCCATCATCATGGACATGCATGGCCATCATCATGGACATGCATGGCCATCATCATGGACATGCATGGCCATCATCATGGACATGCATGGCCATCATCATCATCATCGAGATACATGGCCATCATCATCATCATCGAGATACATGACCATCATCATCATCGAGATACATGACCATCATCATCATCATCGAGATACATGGCCATCATCATCATCATCATCGAGATACATGGCCATCATCATCATCATCATCGAGATACATGGCCATCATCATCATCATCATCGAGATACATGACCATCATCATCATCATCGAGATACATGGCCATCATCATCATCATCCTCGAGATACATGGCCATCATCATCATCGAGATACATGGCCATCATCATCGACATAAAATGGACCCCAAAGACATCAAAGAAAAGAGGCTACGGTTTCCTCTGATGCGTCTCTGAGTGCCGTATGTCGCGGTCCTCTATGTTGCCCTGTTCTGCCCTCTGCGGCGTTTGGCAAAGGTGCGACGGCCACACCTAAGGGGGGGGGGCTTTACACGTACCCTCCAATCCTTCATACAAAAAGTGCTACATTTTCTATCATGCATGAAGTGCGTCAGAGCAGCGCTCTCCTCGATTTTTCCCCCCCCACCCACACAAAAAACACAATTACAAAAGGACCTCCTTGTGATGGCGCATTATATGCTGATTTTTTTCAGACGGCCGTCGGAATCCCTTTTTGCAAAACTCGCAGCGGTGCGGGTAGTCCTTGGTGTGTATGGAGATGACGTGGCGTTTGAAGCCGGACGCGTCCGTCGTGCTGTACTCGCAGTACTGGCACTGGTAGACCTTTTTGCCGCTGTGCGTCTTCATGTGCTTTTTGAGCTCCGGTTGCAGCCGGAAGCCGCGTTTGCATTTTTTGCACTTGAAGGGCAAGTCTTTCGTGTGGACAGACAGGATGTGGCCGCTCAGGATGAACGGGTCGGGGGTTTTGAAGTCGCAGTGGCGGCAGTGGTGGACCTTCTTGCCTTGGTGCGTCTCGCTGTGTTTCTTGAGTTCGGAGGGGCGGTGGAAGCCTTTGTCGCACACGTCGCACTTGTGGGGGAAATCCTTGGTGTGGACGGAAATGACGTGGCGTTTCAGGTCGCTGGAGTTGGTGCTCTTGTGGTCGCAGTGGGGGCACTGGTGGGTTTTGTGGCCCTGAAAGAGCTCGGTGTGGCGCAGAAGGTCCTTCTCGTCGTTGAACGCCTGGGGGCACTGCTCGCACTTGAACGGCAAGTCCGAGCCGTGGCGGCTTTTAATATGCGTCTTTAGGTTCGACTGGTCGGCGCAACGGAACTCACAGAAATGGCACGCGTACGGCTTTTCTCCCGTGTGGGTCCTGAGGTGCTTCTTCAGCTCGGAGGGGTGTCTAAAGCCCTTTCCGCATTCGACGCACACATGTGGAAAGTTCTTGCTGTGTACGGCCAGCAGATGGCGGTTGAGGAGCCCCTGCTCGGCCGTCTCGTAGTCGCAGTATTTGCACTTGTGCAGTCTGGGCTCTGTGTCCCTCAGGATGAGCTTGTTGGAGCTGAGCGGACTGGCCTCGCGGTAGCGCCGCGTGTACTCCGTGAACTCGTGAGGCTTTTCCGTTTTGCTGGTCAGCTTGTGGCTCTCCAGGTGGTTGTGAAAACTGACCTTCTTGTTGGTGGTGAAATCGCAGTCCGTACACTGGTACTTCTTCTTGATGAGGTGGTCGGGGTGATTCTTCATGTGCCTCTTCAGGAACCCCCGCGACTTGAACTTCTTACCACAGATGTGACACGGGTACACGGTCAGAGGCTGGCCATCGGGGCCGATGATGACGGCTGCGTGAAATGAAGAGAACATTAAAGTGTTACTAAAGAAGTAAAATAAGTATCAACAAGTTTATAAACACACAGTACTGTGCAAAAGTTATCGGCAGGTGTGAAGAAAGGCTTTCAAAAATATATATTTTATTTTTTTTATCAATTTACAAAAGGAAAAGTGAGAGACTAGAGGAAAAAAAATCTAAATCCAATCAATATTTGGTGTGACTACCTTTTGGCTTCAAACCAGCATCAATTCATCAAGAAGAAGTGCAAAGAAAAAAGCAGCATTGAGGAGCGTAGACAGTCATCGGGTAAAGCTGAGAAGCGTAGACAATGTGGTCAGGCAAGATGGACGCAATTCGTAGGGGCATCTCCACTGCACAGACATCCATCCCACTTAGCATACCTTGTACTAAACCTCCACCAACACTTTCCTCTTCTGACCTCGCTACTACCGAAGAGGTCACTAAGGTTTTCTCAGAAGCCCAACTAACCACCTGCCCCCTGGATCCTGTCCCCTCACAACTACTACGGTCACCCTCTTCTTCCATCCTATGCTCCCTCACTCACATCTTCAATCTTTCCCTCTCTACTGGTGCCTTCCCCTCCCCTCTAAAGTACGCGCACATCACTCCCATACTTAACAAGCCCTCCCTGGACCCCACCAACCTGAACAACTTAAGACCCATCTCCCTGCTGCCATTTACCTCTAAACTCCTAGAACACTTAGCCTGCAATCGCCTGAGCTCCTCCCTCACCGACAACAACCTTCTTCACCCTTTACAGCGTGGCTTTCGCTCACTACACTCCCCTGAAACTGCCCTACTAAACCTCACTAATGATCTACTAACTGCTAAAACCAATGGCCACTACTCCGTACTCATCCCAACCAATGGCCACTACTCCGTACTCCTCCCAACCAATGGCCACTACTCCGTACTCATCCCAACCAATGGCCACTACTCCGTACTCATCCCAACCAATGGCCACTACTCTGTACTCCTCCCAACCAATGGCCACTACTCCGTACTCATCCCAACCAATGGCCACTACTCTGTACTCCTCCCAACCAATGGCCACTACTCCATACTTATCCCAACCAATGGTCACTACTCCGTACTCATCCCAACCAATGGTCACTACTCCGTACTCATCCCAACCAATGGCCACTACTCCGTACTCATCCCAATCAATGGCCACTACTCCGTACTCATCCCAACCAATGGCCACTACTCTGTACTCCTCCCAACCAATGGCCACTACTCCATACTTATCCCAACCAATGGTCACTACTCCGTACTCATCCCAACCAATGGTCACTACTCCGTACTCATCCCAACCAATGGTCACTACTCCGTACTCATCCCAACCAATGGCCACTACTCCATACTAATCCCAACCAATGGTCACTGCTCCGTACTCATCCCAACTAATGGCCACTACTCCGTACTCATCCCAACCAATGGCCACTACTCCGTACTCATCCAAACCAATGGCCACTACTCCATACTAATCCCAACCAATGGTCACTACTCCATACTAATCCCAACCAATGGTCACTACTCCATACTAATCCCAACCAATGGTCACTACTCCGTACTCATCCCAACCAATGGTCACTACTCCGTACTCATCCCAACCAAATGACCACTACTCCATACTCATCCCAACCAATGACCACTACTCCATACTCATCCCTAACCAATGGCCACTACTCCATACTCATCCATACCAATGGCCACTACTCCATACTCATCCTAACCAATGGCCACTACTCCATACTCATCCCAACCAATGACCACTACTCCATACTCATCCCAACCAATGTCCACTACTCCATACTCATCCCAACCAATGACCACTACTCCATACTCATCCTAACCAATGGCCACTACTCCATACTCATCCATACCAATGGCCACTACTCCATACTCATCCAAACCAATGGCCACTACTCTGTACTCATCCCAACCAATGGCCACTACTCCAAACACATCCCCTTCTCTTCTCCGTCTACACCTCCTCCCTTGGTCACTTGATAAACTCCCATGGCTTTAAGTACCATCTCTATGCTGATTACACACAAATCTATCTTTCTACTCCTCACCTTGCTCCTTCAGTGTTACCTATAACTCTGTCTCCTCCTCTCCACTCCCTCTTTCTGTAGGGGTCCCTCAAGGTTCTGCCCTTGGACCCCTTCTCCATCTACACCTCATCCCTTGGTCACTTGATAAACTCCCATGGCTTCCAGTACCATCTCTATTTTGATGACACACAAATCTATCATAAACATTCCCCACCCCTTCAGAGATCACATGAAGATTTACCAACCCCCCCAATGACCACATAAACATTCCTCCCCCCTCCCAGAAACCACATGAAGATTTACCAACCCCAAGAGACCACAAACTATTACCAACCCCCAAAGACCATATAAACATTCACGACCCCCCAAAGACCACATAAAATATTCCCCAACCCCTCCAAAGCCCACATGAGGATTTACCAACCTCCCAGAGACCACAAACCCCCCCCCCCTCGACCACATGAAGATTTACAAACCCCCAGAGACCACAAACATCCCCCCCCCAGAGCCCACATGAGTATTTACCAACCCCCCAGAGACCCCATAAATATCCCCCCCCCCCCCCCGAGACCACATGAAAATTTACAAACCCCCGGAGACCACATAAACTATTACCAACCCCCCAGGGACCACATAAACATTTGCCCCCCCCCCCCCCCAAGAGACCACATGAAGATTTACCAATCCCAAGAGACCATATAAACATTCACGGCCCCCCAAAGACCACATGAAGATTTACCAACCCCCCATAGACCACATAAATTCCTCCCCCCCCCCCCCAAACACCACATAAAATGAGACAAGATTGGGGTGTGTTTACCCGTCTGCCATTGCCTGGCATCCCCTCGCCTCCTCTTCTTGGCTTTCTGTTTCAGGGCTCTGCCGGTGGCCATACTGTCGCAGATCTGCAGGTACTGGGTCGCTGTTCCGTTCTTTGTTTCGAGGCGAGACTCCACATTTGCTGATAGGAGACAGTACCAGACAATCAAAGGTGGAGAGCACAACAACAGCAACCAGATCTCTCCAATGTCGGTCTGTGCATAGTCCATAGACCCGCAACAGCACCTAACAGTGTGTCTGTCCCACGTGAGGAAAAACCACAGACCGCACAGACACAGAAATCACTGTTACAGTTTACACATCAACCATCTTGGAAGGTTTTTGTTCTTTGAATCACATTTTACATTTTATTTGAATTCAAAACGTACATGAAATCTGCGAACAAACAAGCCGGCTATAAAGACCCCACATTACATTCAATGTCGTTACAACGCGGCGGAGCACAGAGAGCTTCTATACAGAAAAGAGAAACGATGGGGGAGATTTACTAAAAATGGAGCACACAGAATCCGGGACAGCTCTGCATGGGAGCCAATCAGCTTCTAGCTTCAGCTTGTTTAACCACTTCCAGTCTAGACACTTCCCCCCCCTTCCAGTCCGGACGCTTCCCCCCCCTTCCAGTCCGGACGCTTTCCCCCCCTTCCAGTCCGGACGCTTTCCCCCCCTTCCAGTCCGGACGCTTTCCCTCCCTTCCAGTCCGGACGCTTTCACCCCCTTCCAGTCCGGACGCTTCCCCCCCCCTTCCAGTCCGGACGCTTCCCACCCCCTTCCAGTCCGGACGGTTTCCCCCCCTTCCAGTCCGGACGGTTTCCCCCCCTTCCAGTCCGGACGCTTTTACCCCCTTCCAGTCCGGACGCTTTCACCCCCTTCCAGTCCGGACGCTTTCCCCCCCCTTCCAGTCCGGACGCTTTCACCCCCTTCCAGTCCGGACGCTTTCACCCCCTTCCAGTCCGGACGCTTTCACCCCCTTCCAGTCCGGACGCTTTCACCCCCTTCCAGTCCGGACGCTTTCACCCCCTTCCAGTTCGGACGCTTGCCCCCCCTTCCAGTCCCGACGCTTTCACCCCCTTCCAGTCCCGGACGCTTTCAACCCCCTTCCAGTCCGGACGCTTTCACCCCCTTCCAGTCCGGACGCTTTCACCCCCTTCCAGTCCGGACGCTTTCCCCCCCTTCCAGTCCGGACGCTTTCACCCTCTTCCAGTCCGGACGGTTTTCCCCCCTTCCAGTCCGGACGCTTTCCCTCCCTTCCAGTCCGGACGCTTTCACCCCCTTCCAGTCCGGACGCTTCCCCCCCCCCTTCCAGTCCGGACGCTTTCACCCCCTTCCAGTCCGGACGCTCCCCCCCCCCCTTCCAGTCCGGACGCTTTCCCCCCCTTCCAGTCCGGACGCTTTCACCCACCCCCTTCCAGTCCGGACGCTTTCCCCCCCCCCTTCCAGTCCGGACGCTTTCCCCCCCTTCCAGTCCGGACGCTTTCCCCCCCCTTCCAGTCCGGACGCTTTCACCCCCTTCCAGTCCGGACGCTTTCACCCCCTTACAGCCGGACGCTTTCACCCCCTTCCAGTCCGGACGCTTTCACCCCCTTCCAGTCCGGACGCTTTCCCCCCCTTCCAGTCCGGACGCTTTCCCCCCCTTCCAGTCCGGACGCTTTCACCCCCTTCCAGTCCGGACGCTTTCCCCCCCTTCCAGTCCGGACGCTTTCCCCCCCTTCCAGTCCGGACGCTTCCCCCCCCTTCCAGTCCGGACGCTTCCCCCCCCTTCCAGTCCGGACGCTTTCACCCCCTTCCAGTCCGGACGCTTTCACCCCCTCATTCAGTCCGGACGCTTTCACCCCCTTCCAGTCCGGACGCTTTCACCCCCTTCCAGTCCGGACGCTTTCACCCCCTTCCAGTCTGGACGCCCCCCCCCCCCCCTTTCCTGCCCAGGCCAGTTTTCAGCTTTCAGCGCTATCACACTTTGAATGACAATTGCGGCGGTCATGCAACACTGAACCCATATGAATTTTTTAGCATTTTTTTGAGACAGATAAAGCTTTATTTTGGTGGTATTTATTCACCGCTGGGAGTTTTATTTTTTTGCTATATAAATGAAAAAGTCCAAAAATTTTGAAAAAAAGTGTTTTTCTTATACAATTTTGCAAATAAATAATCTCTCTTTATAAATCTCAGCCAAAATTTATTCCGTTATCTTTTTAGTAAAAATAAAATAACCCAAATTAGTTTATAACTGAAAATTATAATTTGTAAACATTTTTATTTTTTTATATTATTATTTTATGTGTGTTTTTTTTTACATACTGTCACCCTAGCAGTACAGTGTCACCATAGTGACACTGTACTACTTTTGGGGGGTGATGATTTTTTTTTTTTTTTTTTTTTTTTTACACTGATTGCTTTTACACCCATAAAGGCTGTAAGAGGAATCATTTCTCCTTCTCTCTGGCTACATTCCTGCAACCATTGAGAAATACTGTGTGAGCTGTGACTGGTCACAGCTTGTCACATGGTACAAGGCTGTTGTGAATGGCCCTGTACCATGTGATCTCTGCTTATTACTTGTGAAATCTGTGAATGATCACAATGATGTCAGAGGTGACATCTTGCTTACTACTCTGCATGTGATCACCGATTGGCCTCTGTGTGAGGTCCCGTCAGACGATCGGTGTTCCACTATGTATGGAGGACACAGCGGGCACCGGATCGTGGTGCTGCGCGCTCCCTGGGAGCGTGCACAAGCAGTGGGCATGGAGGCTGTTTATATATCCACCCCTACACTGCCACCGTCGGGCCGTTTATATACATGGGCCAGACGGGAGGTGGTTAATGAAGCTTTGAGAATAAAACCTGTCAGCTGATTGGCTCCCATGCAGAGCTGCACTGGACTCTGTGTGCTCCAGTTTTGTTAATTTTCCCCCCATTGTTTCTTTTTTCTGCACAGACGCTCTCTGTAAACGCCTGGTGATCCTGCCAGTCCCTTCTGATTTAAAGGCGTCCTCTTCCTCTTCCTATTAACATGTATGGAGTCCCAAGATTTTACATTTTAGCTTTACATACACATTTGCATCCCTCGGCAGAGATCGGTTTATGCCTCAACATGAACAAAAAAAAAAGAATAAAAATAAAAATTAAATACACAATTTGATGTTTTATTACAAAAAAAATATGGACACTTCTAGGGGGTGAATACACGGCTCAAAGAAATGAAAGGAAGACTTTGAAAACCAATCAGATCTCAATGGGGAGGAATCTCCTGCTGGATCTCTATACTGACATGGACGGGGGATGGGTGAGGAACGTAAGGACGCCCCATCGTTTGATGAAAATGGAAATGATCGACCTACAGAGGACTGAATTCAAAGACACCCCGAAAATCAAAGTGAAGAAATGATGCAGCAGGCGAGTCCATTCATTACAGCAACTCAGAATGGTCCTCAGTAGTCTGTGTGGCCCCCACGTGCTTGTATGCATGCCTGACAACGTTGGGGGAGGGTCCTAATGAGACCACAAATGGTGTCCTGGGGGTTTCCTCCCAGATCTGGACCAGGGCATCACTGAGCTCCTGGACAGTCTGAGGTGCAACCTGGCGGCGTCGGATGGACCGAAACATGACATCCCAGAGGTGTTCTATTGGATTTAGGTCAGGTGAGCGTGGGGGCCATTCAATGGTATCAATTCCTTCATCCTCCAGGAACTGCCTGCATACTCCCCCCACATGAGGCCGGGCATAGTCTGCATCAGGAGGAACCCAGGACCCACTGCACCAGGAGGAACCCAGGACCCACTGCACCAGGAAGAACCCAGGACCCCCTGCACCAGGAGGAACCCAGGACCCACTGCACCAGGAAGAACCCAGGACCCCCTGCACCAGGAGGAACCCAGGACCCACTGCACCAGGAGGAACCCAGGACCCCCTGCACCAGGAGGAACCCAGGACCCCCTGCACCAGGAGGAACCCAGGACCCCCTGCACCAGGAGGAACCCAGGACCCCCTGCACCAGGAGGAACCCAGGACCCCCTGCACCAGGAGGAACCCAGGACCCACTGCACCATGAGGAACCCAGGACACAATGCACCAGTCACCACCTGACAATGGGTCCAAGGATTTCATCCTGATACCCAATGGCAGTCAGGGTGCCATTGTCTGTCCTGTAGAGGTCTGTGTGTCCCTCCATGGATTTGCCTCCCCAGACCATCAATGACCCACCACCATAACAGTCATGCTGAACCATGTTACAGGCAGCAGAACATTCTCCATGGCTTCTCCAGACTCTTTCACGTCTGTCACATGTGCTCAGGGGGAACCTGCTCTCATCTGTGAAAAGCACAGGGGGCCAGTGGTGGACCTGCCAATTCTGGGGTTCAATGGCAAATGCCAATCCAACTCTATGGTGCTGGGCAGTGAGCACGGGGCCCACTAGAGGACGTTGGGCCCTCAGGCCACCCTCATGAAGTCTGTTTCTGATTGTTTGGTCAGAGACATTCACACCAGTGGCCTGCTGGAGGTCATTTTGTAGGGCTCTGGCAGGGCTCATCCTGTTCCTCCTTGCACAAAGGAGCAGATACCGGTCCTGCTGATGGGTTAAGGACCTTCTACGGCCCTGTCCAGCCCTCCTAGAGGAACTGCCTGTCTACTGGAATCTCCTCCATGCTCTTGAGACTGTGCTGGGAGACACAGCAACCTTCTGGCAATGGCAGGTATTGATGTGCCATCCTGGAGGAGTTGGATTGCCTGTGTAACCTCTGTAGGGTCCAAGTATGGCCTCATACTACCAGTAGTGACACTGACCCTGGCCAAATGCAAGTAAGTGAAAAACAGAAAAGATGAGTAGGGAAAAACATGTCAGAGGCCTCCACCTGTAAAACCATTCCTGTTTTGGGGGTTGTCTCATTGTTGCCCATCTAGTGCACCTGTTGGTAATTTCATGAACACCAAAAAAGCTGAAACTGATGAACAACCCCCTCTGCGACTTACCTGACCAGATCCATATCCCAGGAGTGTCATGGACTTGATGCGACTCGGATTACAAAGTCTGACTTTAATTTTTTTGAGCTGTGT